GTGCAAGTTAATAGCAGCTGGTTCAGTCCCAAATGATGGCCAGGTATCACACAAGAACCATCTGATGATGGGTAAAAGTAAAGAGCTCTCTCAAGACTTTTGTACAAAGTATTAGATAAATTTCAGTAAGTGTGTTCAATACTTTTCCCCTGTGCCATTCCTTTTTTGGAGTGGCGCTTAAGTGAGGGGTGACAGCGGTAACAAAAATACATAATTAGCAATGAGTCATGCTAAGATTTTAATCAGGACATTTTACATCTAATGAAAGTATATTTATTGGATAATATTTTTGGCAGTTTACAGATATTTCCACAGTTGTAGTTTTAAATTGTCTGGAAATAAAATCCCAAGTCCTCAATGTCCGAGACTGAGACAGGACCGAATACAAGTGTGGTCGAGTCTGAAACAAGACCATCAAAAAGCCGTCTTGAGACTGGTCAAATACTGGTCTGCGTCACACATCTTAGTCTCCTTCCAGCTGAAGACTGCTGGGACTGACGCAAAACTGTTGATGTTAGCTTGTTAGATAGCTGTTAGCAAACTTATGGTGCGTTCACACCGAACGCTATTTCAGTGTCAAAATCGTGTCCAACGCTTCAAGTTGGACGCTTGTGGTCAGACGCGAGTCAATTGCTCTTGAAGCGCTCGACGCGCGTCGAGAGCCTCCCCACCCCTCCCTCCTCTGTCGGTCTCTGTTTAATGTCGGATGAAAAGAAGAAAGTGGCTTTGCTTTATTTACTGGGTGCAGGAGAACGTCGCGCTCATCAGATAATTAATTCATAATTAATTCACCAGATAATTCAAAGACGCTCTGAGTTTGGTGTTTCATCACCCAGGAGCTGCGAGCTGACTCGAGGCTCTGAACTATTTTTGTCCCGTCTAGTTTGATGAGCCGCTGACTCGCATCGGTGCTGATATCTGCTGTCAGGACACCGACTGCAGGCACTTGATTTCAGCTAAAGAGCTCCTCTCCATCTGTCTCAGGTTAGTGGACATCATTCAGTAAACTGTCCCGTCGGGAAATCTGTCACTACGTCACACAGTGGAYTCTCTCTGATTGGTTCACGCAGCGCGTCAAGCTGCAAAAGTTCAGATTTTCCAACTCCAGCGTCCACGCTTCAAATCGTTCAAATCGTTCAAATTGCGCCGCTCTAATCGCTCTTGACGTGCCGCAGTACTTCCCTACGCCCATCCACCATAGACTTTGCATGTAAARCTGACACTCCTGACGCTCAAAACGCGTTTAGTGTGAACGCACCATTAAGTTAGCAAAACTTAATTTAGCAGAAGCTAATTGGTCATTAGGAGGTTTCCACCTCTGAKCTATAATTTTCTTCGATGCAGACAGTCCTGACAATCAGATTCTACAAGCTCTCTCTGTTAGCAATAATTGTTAATCATTATTTAATAAATGTACAGCAGGGTCCAAAGGAACAAGAAGTCCAGTARGGGATTTTCTTATGCTCTTTGCAAATCCTCAAAAGCCCGAAAGCTACATGGATGGGGACCGTTTCCCCAGAAGTCTTCTATAAGGCTGAAGGGAATTCAGGGTTCAGACTTCCATTGTCTTCAGTCCAGTCTTCGGTCCTGACATGTTCAGCTTTCTCTCAACCCTGACCAGTCTCCCATATCCTGCAGCTGTAAAACACGTCCATACCATGATGCTGCCACCACCATGTTTCACTGTTAGGATGGTGTTGGCAGTTATTTTGACCTCATGGAACATGAGCTAGATTTTAAGTATTGATGCAAAAAGGTCTGTGGTATTTTGGATATTTTCTTTTGTATTAAATTTATTTTCAACATGGGGTACTGAGTGCATAGTAACAAGGAAAGATAAATTTAAATGACTGTAGCATCAGGCTGTGGATCTGAATACTTCCTAAAGGGACTGTACATCTATGAAGGTGCAGTAAACTGACAGAAATTACACAATAATGTTTTGATTAACATGCATATTTGGAACAATAAAAAGGACTGCAGTATATACAGTAAATGTATATGTGTGCGCGCATGTGTGTGTATACTGTATGTGTTTGACCCATGCTGGCAAATGAGTTCAGGATGCAGTGCAAAACAACCCCCAGAAATATAAAAKGATTGATTTTGCCATAATTGATATGCAAAACAATGAATCAATGAAGTCTAACTAAAACAAGCATAAATTCTTCCAAATCCATTTTTAAAGTAAAATCTGATAAGTTGTAACATTAAACATTATTTGATTAACATTTACTTTACCATTTAATAACTTTATATTTAAAAGTGTCTCTTTGTGACTCATTTTGCCAGTACGGGTGACATATATCCACTGATTTTATATAATAAAACAATAAATATATAAAAGAAAAACAGTCAAAGCATTCCACTACGACACAGTTAGACGTAGTTCCATGACTGGAGAACATTTAAAGAAAAACATTTGGTGAGTAAGCACATGTACCTCCTGCTCTTACCAGAGTGGTGGGGGTCATTCCATTTGACATGGCAGACATGAAAAAGACAAACTGATATAAGTACCACGAAAAGTACGACGATAAGCAAAGTCACAGTTACTGTACACATCCGAAGTAACTGTGGCTTTTGTTTTTGCTCATGGATARGACTGAACACTGCAATGTAATATTACACTATGCCGACGACATAGCAGTGCTGCTTCACATTGATTTGGTAAGAGCAATTATCGGGACAAGAAAGTTCAGCAGAAATGATGTCCAAAACATCCAAACCACACAAATGAAACTGGAGAGAAGAAAGAAYGAACAGAAAAGGGGAATAAACTCAACTTTGGGGTCACGTTGCAACAACAAAAACAAACAAACAAAAATAATGTGGAAAGCCTTGAATGATACACAACCCACAGCTGTGCTCATGCCGTGCTTCTCGTACCATGTTCATGTCGATGCCGTTGGTGTACGTCCAGGCATGTTGGAAGTACTCCTCCAGCCTCTGCCTCAGTGGGTTGGGGATCTGGTGGAAGCGGATGAATTCTTTGACCCGGAGCATTTGCAGGTGATACCTGGCCGTACCTGAATACAACCTCTGGATGATGGCGGACACGTTCCCAAAGATGCTGGCGTACATTAGAGCTGGTAGATAAGCCATAAAGTTGATGGTTAAGCAGGGGCGGGTGGGTACACTCATACACAATATCTACCTATAGCACACACAGGCGTTCCTGCAAACAGATCTAGGACAGACCAACGTCCATGCAGTGGAAATTCTGTTTGTAAATGTGTTATATCAAGGGGTTATTTTGTAACATCTATTAAATTGTTCTGTTTTTAAATGGTAACAGCTGAGGACCACCTGACTGTCAGTGATGGACATSGTTCTCCTAATCAGCTAATGACAGTGTTGCCACCTGTCATGTAAAATACGGAATCATACTTAATTTGMCAAATAAATGTTGTGTCCTGTAGTGAACCAGTCAGGGATGTGATTTGTTCTGTATTTTCATAATGTCAAATAGGCATGCCCCTCTCACACGCCAACATTTAAAAAACCCTCCTCTCCTCCCCCCCAGCTTTGCTCCTCTGTGTGTCTGCTCTACCTGTGTGTGTCTGCTCTACCTCTGTGTGTGTCTGCTCTACCTCTGTGTGACTGCTCTGCGTCTGCTCTACCTCTTTGTGTGTCTGCTCTACCTCTGTGTGTGTCTGCTCTATCTCTGTGTGACTGTACTGTGTCTGCTCTACCTCTGTGTGTGTCTGCTCTACCTGTGTGTGTCTGCTCTACCTCTGTGTATGTCTGCTCTACCTGTGTGTGTCTGCTCTACCTCTGTGTGACTGTTCTGTGTCTGCTCTACCTGTGTGTGTCTGCTCTACCTTTGTGTTTCTGCTCTACATATGTGTGTCTGCTCTACCTGTGTGTGTCTGCTCTACCTGTGTGTGTCTGCTCTACCTCTGTGTGACTGTTCTGTG